ATCATGCCTGCTACCCCAGGGCCTGCTCACGTCACGTCTGCCAAGCCAGAGCCTGCTCACATCATGCCGGTCACACAAGAGTCTCTTCACAAAATGGCCGCCCTTCTAGAGTCTCGTCTCAGCTGATCTTCCAGAGTCTCGTCATGACAGGGCCGCCATTTCAGAGACTGCTCACGCCACGCCTGAGTCCCCGGCCAAGATGGCCGCCACGCCTGAGTCCCCGGCCAAGATGGCCGCCACGCCTGAGTCCCCGGCCAAGATGGCCACCACGCCTGAGTCCCCGACCAAGTCGGACGCGGAGCTTGGGCCAAGACTGAAAAGACTGATAGCTAGCGTGATGGACTTACCACTGATGTCGGTGAGAGCTGCAAGCATTCCGCTGACATCAGTGCTCTCAAGCCCAACCATCTTAGAGGTCCTGCTACACTCTGCTGCCCTTCCTGTAATGGCGGTCGCCATTTTGAGTGTGTGGGCTGCACACTGCACTCCAGAGTCCTCTCCTGTCCACGAGTCTGCTCCTGAGGCCTCTTCTGTCCATGAGTCTGCCTCAGAGGCCTCTCCTATCCACGAATCTGCTCCTGAGGCCTTTCCTATCCATGAGTCTGCACCAAGGGCCTTTCCTGTCCATGAATCTGCCCCAGTGGCATCTCCTGCCTATGAGTCTGTCTCAGAGGCCTCTCCTATCCACGAGTCTGCTTTGTAACCCGCTGTCGGTGAGTCTAGTTTTTTTGTGTCTCGTCAAATCTGTTCATGCCTAGTTAAGTCTGTTCATGCCTCGTCAAGTCTGTGTATCTTGTTTGGATTGTTTGGATTTTGGATTTCACCTTGTTTGAAATAAACTGCACTTGGGTTCTTCAATACGCTCGCCTTCAGTGGACTGATTCGTTACAGAAGGTTTTGCAGCAATAAGTTTGACAGAATCGGAAAACAGGCAGAATGGAAGAGATATTTAGAAAATAAAGAAAAGAAGAGGAAAAGAAGAAACTCACTTCCCGGATGTTCCGTGAACCTGACTCCCTGAAAGATGGTTTACATCTGAAGTTTATCTGAAAGAAAAAAAAAAAAAAAACTTATTTTCTACAATACTATTCAGTATTTACCCTAATTTAATGGTGCCATAGAATGCATTGATACAACATTTTTAATTGTTCTCTGATATCTACATATAAGGTATGTGGCTTAGGTAAGGGCAAAAAATCTCCAGAAACGGTTTTACATGTCCATTTACAACCCTAGGATTTGTCCCTAGAATGAAATGGTCTTTTTTTACCTTATTTGGAAGGGTCATGAATAATAATGTTGAGCTCTGCTCTGATTGGCTGTTTCACAGTGCGGCTCATTTCAGTAGCTCACACAGCAGGAAGGAAACACAGGGAAAATATATATTTCAATACTGTCTCTCGCAGTTATATCGTTGGGTAATTATACTGTATATAAAATGCGGGCATCACGGAGCCGCATATTAACATGCAGGGCATTGAAACTGCGTTCGAATGCACGATCGTTGATCACGTGCTGTGTAAACTACAGTGGCAGTACTTACCACACATTTTACAAGATCAGATGCTTAGTGGCTCGCGTTATTTTATTAGAACGCTCGTTATTTGTTTTCCGTGCCTTTCTGAATACAGACACCAACCCATCTCTGCACATCACATCCCCTGCACAGCCTGAAACGTAACATTTATTTCCATGATCTGCCATTTTCGCTATTATCCTCGCATGTTTCTTCACAATACCTGCAGAACTTCTGATGATTCGGCTGTGCAGGTTCGGCTGGCGGCTGGCCCTTATTAGTGATCCCGACTGTAACGTCACAGTCGGTGTTATGTTCTGATTCGCCTATTTTTCAGTGGTCTTTTGCATGCACGAGATTTACATAAGAAGGAGGAAACAATGGTGTTTGAGGCTCACGGTATGTCATTTCCATGTAGAGAACTGTTATTATTTAACTTTGCCAAGGTAAATACAATTTTCCATTCTATGGCACCTTTAAACCCCAACAATGAAACAATCAGTAGCTCATCAAAACCACAAACTGCTGGATTGTTTTCCAGAAAACATGCTCAAATTTGGAGATTCCTAACTGAGCTCAATACTTCTACAGAGGGAAAAATAAATTTTGAGAACAGAACAAAAACCAAATGCACCATTTGCCTCTACATCTTCTCTGAGTTTATTAGACTGATTAGTGAGAAGTATGATTAAAATCATCCCTGATCAAGCATCATTTCACCACAATCAGCCCCACATACCAGGCACAAACTGTTGAAGACAACAGCCCGATTCAATACTGAGCACACAGAATCTGTGCCTCATGCGTAAAATAAAACTCCACCAACAACCCGACACTGACTTGCCCAATCGCATTGATAGTGATTAAGGTGCTAATAAGAAAAAGAGTGTGTCTGGCAAGAAAACCTTTCGGCCCCACTTTATATTAAGTGGCCTTAACTACTATATACTTACATAAAAAAATTAAGTACAATGTACTTATTGTGTTCATATTGTATTGCAAAACACTTTTGCTGCTATTAAGGTGGGATATGGGTAAGGTTAGGGACAGGTTTGTTGGTATAGGTAGGTTTAAGGGTGGGTTAAGGTGTAAGGGATGGGTCAACTGTGTAATTATAAATGTAATTACAGAAATTAATTACAGATGTAATTACATTCAGGTATTTTTAAAATATAAGTACAATGTAAAAACATGTATGTACACAATAAGTGCATCGTACCAAATTATTAATTTACATGTAAGTACATAGTTGTTAAGGCCACTTAAAATAAAGTGGGTCCAACCTTTCTGCATTATATGGTTAAAACCAAACTTAACTTCAAACCAATCAAGTTATCAAAAAGAGTTTTGGATGCCCCCTTCACAGGCTGGATGGACTGAGAGCTAAAGTGGCACCAGATGTTAACGAGACTCTGTTATTTGGCTGTTCTAGGTTTATCAGGCCAGACAGTCACCAGTCTGTACTAAGATCAGATGTGTGAATGATCCATTATCCCCTGTTGAGTCTGAGAAAAAGCTAGAGGGTTTCTCACTCTGAATGATGGGTCTTTGAGAGGCACCTCATCAAGCCCCTCCCCTTGGGGCAGAGCATTCCAGTCCAATAACTGAAGGGAGGAACACGTATGGTCTGTGATGCAGTGTCAGATCATGTCTCTACCTCTACCTGCCACTGGTAACGACACTCACCTTTTCCAGCTGTTCAATGCAGATGGAGTGAACTACGATCTTGCAAGCGGCACATTTTTTCCGAGCAACAGACTTTTGCTGTGAAAAACAGGAAAAAGAGACATTAGATTTGCTCTGACTGAGGTGATCTTCACTTGACGCAAAATTAACAATCAAGAACTAAATCATAATGATTTAGTGCCCATAATTTGAAAGTTGAAATTATGCAATGCATTTTGTAAACTAGCCACCAGGGGGCAGCATTACGCTAAGAGAGAAAATATGAGCGAAAAAGAGAAATGTGCAATTGAGAGATTCTCTCTTATTTCCCCCTTTACCATCCATCTATTTCTATATCCTCCATCATATATTCTAGATTCTCCAGTATATTATACCATCCTGTATTCTCTCTAATCTGGAATTTCTCACTTTCGTCCCGCCATTTACTCTCCTCTGTTTACTCACTCTGTTATCTCTCTTTTGTAAAGAGGGACTTATGCAGGCATTCCTATAGAACACACACTCACCAGGGACTTGGCGTAACAGTGCTGTTCTCCGACGTAACAGAAGTCCCCAGAGACATTAGTCTCAAACCAGATGTGCTCTCCGTACAGAGCTGATTCCTGCTCAAATACAATGCATCAAATTAAATGTGAAACCAGAGAAAGAAACTGTAGCTCTATCAAGAGTACAATGATTAGAGATCTGAAGTCTAGATTATTTGGGTTTGTGTTACTCACACTCCAGTCCACTGTGCTGCGTATTTCTCTGTCCGTTTCCCCCTTAGCCAACACTGCAGCACTGGGCTGGCATGACAGGTGCTGGAGACCGGACTTGGCAATGGCCTTCCTACAGACAAACACAAAATAGACAGGTCCCATAAAACATCAAGCAAAAATGATAAACAGAAACTCAATGTACAGCCCGGATGTACACGTACACAAAGAAGGACAGTAAAAGTGTCAAACAAAACAAAACATTCAAATTACTGTTGTTTTAACGGTGTGCGTCACATGTAAACCATTAAAAGAATTTTTTTTTAAAACACAAAAAACGCCTCGGGAGAAGTGAGATCAATTTGAAAAAAATGAAAGGAGAGAATAAAAAGAAAAGAGAAACAGAAACATTGAACCTTTGTGTTTAGCTGCCAAACTGACACTGATAAAATAATCCCACTGCTCATAAAATAATCCCACTGCTCCACCAATCATATTTCGTGCACATACAACTAAAGGAAAAGTTCACTAGTGTAAACATCAAAATATCAAAGAGAATACAAGAATACAAGAGACAAAGTTCCATAATCACCTATATTGGAATTACTGTTGGAGTGCTTGATTTACAGTAAGGCTAGTATTAAGGTTATTTACTTTGGAGTTGAAATGATGAAGTGCTTCATATATATACTCTCACATACGACATTAAAATGTGACCGCAAAGTCCAAATAGCTTTCGGTGAAAACATTACAAGCACACACATACTAAGACATACAGCTGTAGTTAGGGCTCTACATACGAGAGGAATGCACTCCATGTGTCAATCTGTGGGTTGTAGTAAGTTCCCTGCCGTGTGTGTGAAAGACTGAGATCTGGCCAGCAAGGGGAGCTCGTCCTGTACAGTGCAACTGATCCTGGACCTGCAAGAGAATTTCGCCTCCCTGCCCACAATCCACCTACATCAGACAGGCCCTGTGCCTGACTGGTCCTACGGTAACGGCCGTACAGCCCATAAGAGCCTGGGCTCCGGTAAATGGCTTCAGCAGGAAGTAGGTGTGAGGAGTTTCGCCTCAGGCAACGTGGGGCACGGATGAGGGGACGGGGCTGAATACTTTCTCCTGGCATCAAACCCTGAGCCAACCACATCATACACTTATCAGACTCCAACTCTAAGTCCATCCCTGCTTGCTTGTGCTCCTCCTGGCTACAGTCACTATCAGAGAGAGAGGAGTATTCTTCTGCACTCTTATTCTCAGTTTCATGATCTTCACTCATTTGCACCACGCTAGCCAAGAGCAGTGATGGTCCCAGGAGCTGGGCGTGAATGCTACGGTGTTTGGCAGCCTGTCTTCGTCGTATAGCGAACCGTGGGGTCAGGCAGGCTGTTGCACCGCTCGACCTCCTTCTGGTGAAGTGTCCTCTTCTGTGTTGAATGACTCCCGTCGGCACGTTGCTGGTTTGGAGCTGAGAGCTAGACCTGCGTCTCTGAGCCAGGCCAGCTGACGGCAGGCCCACGCTGGAGCGCCGGCGTGCTTTACTCGCTGGAAGTGACACGCTGGAGAGCCTGGGTCCGCTTGGCTCACAGGCTTTCCGTCTGAAATGCAGGCCAAACAATGTATCCATTGGACTCAGTGATAAGAGAAGATGCTATACGCCACGACTGATGTCTTCCCCAGAGGACACTGTGGGCGCAAGAGCGAGTCGGTCAGCACACACAATACACAGCCTACAACATACGTGAAAGAATCTGGTCTGACTGTCTCCACAAATGCAGTGCTGTTCCTTTGACCTTTTGTGAAATAAAAATGATATTAGACCACCACGAATCACTCCAATCAGCTCTATTCAGTGCTATTCAATGCCAATCAACTCTATTCTCCACACCTGTGTGACTTGTTTAGCAGCTCAGATGAAGCTGAAGAAAATCACAGGCCCTAAGCATCTAAATCCTCTGCATCCAAGTATCGGTCTGAATCGTAACCAAGCAAATGAAACCTCTTTTAATCAGCAATGCTACGTAGCTGGATGACATACGATCACAATTGATTCAGGAGTATAATGTGGTCATGATATACCTGACTGCGCTCAGGTAACGTTATCTGACGGCGATATTTATAGAAGTCATCTCCACTCTCACTCTCCAATCTCCACTCTCTCTGATTCCACAGAGAGACTTCTCGACAGTGCAATTAAAGGGACAGTTCACCCAAAAATTTAAATTTACTAGGGTCCAAAACAACACTGGACCCCATTAGGGTTGTGACGGTGAGGAAATTTTCCCACCGGTTAATCGACGTGTGACAACACCGGTAATCACCCGGTGGGGGGGTTAGTTCATTTCAGTTTCCCTCTTTTCTTCGCTTTCAAATGGCTTGTAAAAGTGCCGTGCGCATTTTACTCAAGCAATTGTTCGTTTGAGTTTTCCCTCTGATTTCTTGGCTTTCAAATAGCTTGAAAAAGCGCCGTGCGCGTTTTACTTTCACTTTCAAATTAGCTGCAATTCGGCAACAACGTCAAACTCAGAACTTTTGTTAACAAAACGAATACAAATACACCATATATGCCTAATAAAATAACAAATTACTTAGGCTACACAAAGTTTAAATAGGTATATAAAACTGAAAATCAGCAAACACTGTGGAACCAAATAAATAAGAAACATAGAACGTTTATTATTAGCAAAACGAATAAGAAAGCTTGGAGGGACGGCATATACACCTTGATGTAAAATAAAATAAATAAAATACACAAAGTTTAAATAAAGTAATCAGCAAACACTGTGGAACCAAATAAATAAGAAACGAATTTTTAAAAAAAACTTCCAGTCAATAGGCTTTTCAAAATCTAAAATATTGCCAAACAGGCGCCTTTGCATTTCCTTTCTAAACAATCTTCTGCCATCATCTTGTCTTTCTCACCTCACTCTTGTCAGTCAGCTCGACTCCTTACGTGATAAATAAAATCTGACTCCTGCTCCGTGGTGCACTGTTGTTTGCGCACGGTTCGGGACGCTGCATTGAGCGTTTAGTTTTTAAAAGTGTCTGTCCTCTAACTGAACTAGGCTAACTTCTGTGTTCCGCAGAAAAAAAAGTGTCATACAGGTTTGGAACTACATGAGAGTGAGTAAATGAGGACAGAATTGTAATTTCAGTGAGTTGAAAAGGATTTCTATGGGAAGTCTCTCTTTAAACCTCAATCAACCTCCAAAACTAACAGGCCACCAGGCTCACAAATACTAACACCCTTGCCTGAATTCTGCATCAATACTCAAAAAGCAATATTCACTACTTATTTTGATAATTGATTAATCTGTCAATTATTTCTTCAGTTAATCAGATAAAAATCTAAATATTATTCACTACATACTACCCAGTGTTGTCCTCCAAACAATATGCAATTTGAAGGCTATGAAAACAAATATAGTGAATGCATCTATGTAGACTATGCAATACATTGGGCAAAAATGGGTGAATATAAGCAATGCTTGCTTACCATTTGTCTAACAAGAAATAATAGGCTACTGCCTAACAAGAATTACTGATCAAAATATATTAAGTCAGAATTATTGCCCTCCTGTTCTATTGTGCTGTCAGTATGATGCGCCTTCAGTGAAGAATGTGAAGTTTACGGGCACTAAATGTGATGTTGAACACTTAATGAATAAAATGGGATTAATGCCCATAATCAATTATTCTATTTAGTACATTTTCATATGAAAAGACCACCCACATGACTTTCCAATGAACCACATAGGATAATATAATGAGATAGATGCTTCTTGCTGTGAAACAGTGTACTATACAGGTTCTCTATATTCAAAAACAGGCAATAAAAACAGTGGAATCTAATGAAAAACTGACAAATTATGTACTACAGAGTTTATGCAACACTGGAAGTGTGCGGATTCATTTCTACAGCCCTTTAAAAAAGATGTGCATAACTCAAGCACCACAGTTTGAACTTGAAGTTTCATAAGCCATGTGAGATCACAGGCCTGCTATCAGATTCCCACACTACTAAAGGTCACCAGTGAGTAACTGTTTGTCGAAATGCACCACGACTTGACATATTATTCTGTAATGCAAATAAAGGATAGGAGCAGAATAATTCATACTGTAAATATGCAATTTCCATAAACAGAAGTCCACGAATATAACCATGACACTAGGCGCGTTTCCATTACCCTTCAAATTGCGCAAATTGAAATTGCGAATTGAAAATACACCTAATGGAAACGCGTCAATTTCGCAAAAACGCCCATATATCGCAAAAAAGTTTTTACGCTCACATGAGGTGGTTTTTCAGGCAATGCGAAAAAGGAATAATGCGCAAAACTGCAATGGAAACGTTTTTATTTCCACATTTACAGGTCACATGGCGTATGTAAAAAGTCATATGATCATTCTTCAATGTACTATAACCTCCAAGAAACACCACATATGTGGCCTCTCTCCAGTATAAGGGGCTTTCCCTACCATTAATGCTTAGACCATTTACACTGCATACGTCTGCGATGCAGTGTGGCTCTGATACGGCCACTGAAGCTGATTGCGGCCACTCTAGTCAGTGTTTGTGTTTATTCCAGCCACGTCACGCACATTTCTGAAGTGGCTCTCTGTGCTGCTTCTGTAAAGATACACGCATACGCCTCCTTTGAATAAATATAGCCAAAATCCGTCAAAATCCCACCAAAATCCGTTGCCATGACTTATCGCGAGAGGCAAAAGGTTACGTTTTAGTCGCATAACATTGGTTAATGGAAACGCCGTCATTTCGCAATACTTTTTTATCGACATTAATAAAATATCGCCAAAGTTTTGCGCAAATCTGTAATGGAAACGTGCCTACTGTCACAGTCCATTTAAGTAAGATTTTAAAGTGACAGCCATGTGCTTTCCTGGCGGACGACACTAGTGCTACTGCATCTTTTATAATGTAATGGATAAAGGCTACAAAAGTATACTGTAAGAGACTACAAGAGAATGTCTAGTATATTATACTGTCATTTGCATGATAATAACACTGCCAAGTCTGTGATGTACTCTCTTACTGATCAGAGCAGCCCCTTTCAATAACATTTATTATTGATTACTCCAAGCAATTCAAAAATGCTTTGTGATTCAAGTTCATTGCTAAGGATTTCTAAAAATGCTCTTTAGTTCCTAAAGAAATCTGCTGAGTAATTAGATGTGAAGATGACAGCTGCGGTAAAATCTGTGTCTATGTCTTCAGTGCCAATGTCTTCAGGTGACGATTCTTATGTACCACCGTGTGAACTGTGCTCTGAAAGGAAATTGAGGTCAGTATTCAAGAGCTGACAAAAGGTCAAGAAATGTACTACTTGGCCTTGTGTGGTTGTGTGGTCTTTACAGTAAGTAGGGGTGGGTCTGACTGAATCGCAGACTTGAATCAAGACTATCGAATACACAGATTGCAAATTGTGCCCTATTGTAATAATCCACTTATACTGTAACTGTTCATGATTAAATCCAAACCAGTAACATACAAATTCTAACATATTTTCAGAGTAGAGAGTTTGCAAAGAGGAAGGGCTATAAAAGTAAAATGACCAAACAAAGATTAGTACAGATCTCAGTTACTGTGACCTTAGGTCTTTAGATGGAACTATGAGCATATCCTTGCTATTTCCATCTGCTCCTTCCTTTCCGGTTTTCTTTTTATATGCTATAATATTCTATTATAGAATGTTATAGAATATTCTATTCTATTTTTAATAAGAAAACACAGTCATGTTTCATATTATATTATGATAGTTTATGTTTATGCAAACTGCTAGTCTGTCTGTCACAAATATCCCAAAATGTGTTACTGGTCTTATATAATGAGCTGATATTTCATCTACTGTCATACTCTCGTACTATATAAACTATATCACTGCACTCCAACAGAGGAACAGAGAGGTGGAGGCACAGAGAGAAAGAAAGCGTGGAGGGTCTGTTCAACACACACTCAACAGTTATATCGCTCAGAGGCCTGTGGGCTGAAGTCAGCAGAGAAAGAGAGGGCGAGAGAGACGGGCAGTTAGGTTTTGGTGACTCATGTAAGGTAAGGTTGTTGTTAGACCAACTTGTAACTGGAAACTTGACTCATTAAACTAAAGAGCAAGAAATTAATTCAGAAAGAACACAAAGGTACAGATATTTTTAGCTCTGAGTCACAAAAACTCATACAGACAGGGTCAACGACACTCCAGAGAGAGAGAGGTACAAGAATTCTGCAACAGTTTTCTTACATTGTTCAGGGTACACATACACTAGGGCAAAAAAAATTATTGTGATTATTTTGTCATATACTGCAAATGATTTGAACCATGTAAACATTTAATCTCAATATGAAATCATCTCATATTGCTGCTGCTAAAACATCCAGGCAAAAGAAAAGAGACCACACATTGATGGCAATAAAAAGAGTTACTTTACGAGTGTTCAAACTTGGATATACTCTACAAGAACCTTCTCAGACCTTTTCAGTGTCCAGAGTGAGCAGAGTGGGAAAAAGTGTCTTTGCCTTAGCCATTTTTCTTTGCCACAACTACACTCACACTGTTGATTTTAGGAATCTAAGCAATTTAAATATAATACTATAAAATGATACTTTTTAATTATAATTCATTTTAATTAACTCTAGTAATAAAATTAAAGACAGAAAAATATCACTATTG